TATTTCATAAACCAAAAAGAATTTGACAATACTGTAAACGAGTCTTAAATGGGCATCGAAAAAGGCAACTTTTTCCTAATTTAACCGACCTTGTAGCTCTTACCGTTTCGGATATAGCAATAGTGGTATCACTTAAAATATACACCCTGTATATTGTGTGCACTTGCGCGCGCGCCGCAGGCGGAGGCGAAAAAATCCTGTTCTGGTGCCATGCCCAAAACGTTAATTTTGTGCCAAAAATATTCATAACATAAAATAAGTAGTTTTTGGCCGCCCGCCGCCACCCGGTCGCACGACCCCTAGCGACTATCAAAAACAGGTATAGCAGTATGTGCTCATAAGAAGGGCAAAGGGCAAAGTTTGTGTTTGGGTTTGCAAGAGAAATGGAATCCTGAATATTATGAAGAAAAGCAGAATTCAAAAGATTTTTTTTTAATTGCCTTTTTGCCGCCCCTTTAAGTTTGCCGCCCTAGGCGGTCGCCTAGTTCGCCTAATGGTTGCGCCGACCCTGGATAAAGCAGTATACTAAATATTCTGTTTAAAAGTGTTTTTGAATAGGACCCTGTGAAGCCACAAACGTTGCATTGGATAGTTCCCTAAAGCAGTTCTAAATCCAAAAATTCTGCGCAGCAATCGTTTTGTTTAGAACCGGTCCGGTCGGTGAAATTTGGGGTTTGGCCAATTAAAACTAGATTTGTATGTTGAAATTTAATGAGTTTCTTCTTCAGCTCTGACCCGCACAATTTTTTATCATTACAGGAATGTTGTGGGTCAGTGAATAAAAACACAAAATGCTTCTGGGTGAAGTGCCGGCAGTAGGACAAACTCAGGTCAAATAGTTCTCCTATAGCGGCCTTCCTCATTCTTTGGCTGTTTACATCATATTTCTTATCTGTAACACTGGCGCCGACTACATGGGGGCATCGGGGCAAGTGCACCCATGAGCAACCTCTCATGGATGCGGAGCACCCATGAGAGCTGTCGTGGGGAATGCGGAAGTACAAGTACAAGTGTTTAATGATCATTCCAACGGTGGTTCAGCTATAAGTACTTGGTATTTGGCTTACTTTTAACTTACTTTTTGATTTTGTTTTTCTTCTACTTGTACTTATTTCTTCGGGTGTATGTACAGTGTGTCCCATTTTGGTTGTACATAAGGGATATCTCAGTTGCTATTGGAGTTACATGGATGCAGTTTTCGCTCGGGTTTTCGGGAACGTTTGCTACTTTTCTGACAAACGAAAGATGCCGTCAACAAAATTGTCCTCGCCCTTTTCGTTCTTCAGTTACAAGGTGTTTTTGAAAATGTTGCATTTTGGGACACCCTTTGTATCTCGCGGCTCTCTCAAGTGATCGAAAACGTGACAACGGATTCCTATAGATATTTTTACGTAGACTCCAGAAGCGTTGCCAGTTTTTCTCTAAAAGCAATAGTTTGTAAATTATCAACCCAAACATACATTATTTCAAATGAGACACTCTACATATTATAAACTCATTGAATAGCTTGATTGCTTCATCTTTGACAGTTTTCGACCAAAAAAAAATTATCTGTTTTTGTCATGCGAAACAATGTTACAGTGTTTTACTTTCTCATTTTCCTTAAGGTGCAAATTCAAACTTTATACCATTGAAATCAGCAGAAGCAGAGCTATCCAACGAGCTATTAATACAGGGTGTCTCATTTTAAAAAACGTATGTTTGGTTCATTATTCAAAAACTGTCACTTCTAGAGAAAAACTGATCGCCACTGGAATCTATGTAGAAAGATCTATAAGAACCCGTTGTCTCCTTTTCGATCACTTATGAGAGAACCGAGATACGATACAAGAGTCTCAAAATGCAATTTTTTCAAAAACACCTTGTATCTGAAAAACGGAAAGGGCGATGTAGCCAACGTTCGCGAAAGAAAACCGTATCCTTCTAATTCCAATAGCAATTGAGATATTCCTTATGTACAGTTGTTAGCATAAAAAGTGGGACACCCGGTTTTTCCTATTATAAAACGAGCTCATCAGCTATACATACGGCAATGACAGGGATTGTCATATTTGACAAAAAATTCATTAGGGATTTTTTAGCGACTTACCGTTTGTAACCGTGTTATAAACGGTAACTGAAAATCCCTAACCGTTGAAATTTTAGCGAGGCAGCGGTAATAGGGGAAGTTATTATCCGTGCGTTCGGTATTTTGATCTAAGTTCTCCAAGCATAAATTTACCGTTCGTTTATTTGAAAAGTGTATTCGGTGCAGGCTCATTCACGTTCGTTTATTAAAATTTCAAGACCTCTGCTCTGATCCAGCGTTTAGCTGCTCTGTGCGCTCGTCGTTCACGTGATCACGGCTCCGCTCTGCACGCTCTGCTCTTTGAGCAAAATAGCCAAAATACCGAACGCAAGGTATGACGACAATAGGGGAAGTCAATGATGTCACGCATTTGTAACATGGTATTAAATGCAGTAACCTATGTAGGACCCTGAGTTACTGGCGGTTATAGAACATTTGACAGTTCGATTTTATTCAAATATGGGCGTTTGGGTTTGTTTACCTTACTCTAACGTCAAACCGGAAAATTAGAAAATATTATTGCGGGACATGGACATGGGTTTCTGGTTGTTAGTTTAAACGTAAAAGGTAAAAAAAAACGCTCAGAAACGTGTAATATCCGATCCATTCCTTAAAGATCCGGGGAACCAACATGGCAGAAAATATTGAAATTTTAACTGAAGTTACTTTAAACAATGAAGGGGAGAATCACCATCTTTGTTCCCTTGGACCTAGCGAATATACTTCTTAAAGGTAAAAACAATGTGTGAAATTGTTTCATTTGATAGGTGCGTAGAGTACATTTTTAACAGTATTCAATTTTAATTTATGTGTGTTGATCATTGTATTGATCATCTCGCCATGTTTTTTGTTTATTGTGTGCTTGCCTTTTGGCGGACATTTCAATTTAAGTTTGACAGCTTCTTGGATAGTCTAGCCGAGTCTAGCCCGCATTAGTTGTATTCCTTTCAAGAGCTTGAAACACTAGAGCTACTCGCTCCGGTGTTAGTCGACCCCGATTTGAAAGGAACAGATGCGCTGGCTTTCATGCATTTAAATGGTTTGAGTCGGGCTTGAGCACTCAGGTGCAACAAAAACTTTTCGAAAGGAATAAGCGCGTAACGCCCTGGAGCTGTTCCGGAGCTCCTCCTCCTTTATCACGTGGCGGTAATTTTGACACAGCATCAGTGGTGAGGGTAATAACCGTACGGTTAAAGCTCGTGATAACAAGGTAACAAACGGTTTCTCGCTAAAAAATCCCTATTGTAGAGGAAAGCCTGATTTACCCGAAATAGCGAAAAATTACAAGACCTGTCAGTCGGGTGTCCCACTTTTTATGCTCACGACTGTATGTACAGGGTGTCCAAGATTCGATGGTTTTGCCGGGTCTCTGGTATTTCTAGAGGAGTTGGAAAAAATCTGACCCCCACGTGACAGCCTTGATTTTCAAGAGAAGTTGGCCGGTGAAACCCACATCTCGATATCTCGATTCGTTTTTAAGCTACAGAAACTTATAGACCCCCTGCCATACTCCAAACTCAAAACGACTTGACATATTGAGATGCGGTTTCCACCAGTCAATGTCTCTTGAAAATCGAGGCTCGCAAGTGAGAGTCAGATCTTTTCCAACTTCTTTAGAAATACCCGAAACCCCCCAAAACCATCGAATCCTGGACACCCTGTAAAACCAAAATGGGATACTGTGTTTATACAGGGTGTTACCGTTCAACTGGTCGAAAATGCTAGAGTATACAGAGGAACCATAGAGAACTAATTTGAGATAGGATAGGACACCGATGGTCGGAAGTGTGTCGTTTCCAAAATATAGAGTGTTGAAATTTAAAAATCCCCTTTCATATCATCTGAATGGCCGCTAGGCTGTTCAAATTTCTAGGGATTATTGATGTAGGAATGATATTTAAAAATTCTTAATATGCACCCCCATTTTCTACCTGGAACCATCCCCCCAAAAAAAATAAGTAAAATAATAAAATAAATAAAATCGAATACAAAAATTGAGCAAGGGTTGCTCTAGTGCTGCCCGAATTTAGCAATAGGAAACACTATAAAATAGACGTTTTTGGACGTGGCATCCGGAAAAAAAAATTCGTCCACCTCTTTTCCCTATAAACAAATTTATAAATTCATTTATTATTATCCGGCACCCATTAGGACTTTCGAAAGTCGGCGCCGCTGATCTGTAAGTGATTTGATCAATGACAAGTATCCCTCAACGTCGGATCCAGCTAGTATACTGTCCTTCTGTAATGGAGGTTATTTTTTTCTAGAGGCTGTAGAATTTGTAATGGCAGAATGAGGGTTAGGTACCGTTACAACAAAGGCATGTTCTTATTCATAAACACGTCATATAAACACGTGCTGGCAAAATTTCAAATTGAAAAGCATATTTCCATTAATGTGATACTTAATACAAAAATAAACTGAGAAAGAAACATATCAGAAAATTAATTATTGGAAAAAAAAGCCATACTATGGAAACCTCGATTAAAACGCATGACACTTAAAAAAAAAGTAATATAATTGGGTGCTGATATTTTAATATTGTGCTCAGTCTATTTCCTGTCTCTAGCTGAAGAAGTCCATATGAAGAAAATCTCAGAAAATACATAAAACAGCAATGAATAAATGTAATACTCTACCAATTTCTGGAACAGCTTTCTAGGATTTCTACACTGCACAGCGTTTCTAAAATTTAAACATGGTTTTCTGATATAAATCTGTTTCTGCTGCTTCCAATTTCATTATGAATGGTAACAATCCTGTGCCTGAATATTCTATAATTTAATATTTTTTTATCCTAATAGAATTAATTGAATTCAGCAATAACGTTGGCATCATGCCAAATTATATTACCATTACCCATATTTTTTTGCATGTTGTGGATGCATTTGGCTTTCAATTTTTTTTCATTAATTGTAGATTTTTTTTTCAGTGTTCCCAACATTATTACTGACTCTCTAAGTGGTGAAAATAATGGGAAAGGGAATGTGGCAATAAAAAAATCCAAAATAAAAGCTATGGAGAACCTGTTTGAAAATCCTGACTCGGATCCAACAATTTTACAAGGCTCTGATGATGAGATGGATACTAGCCAAGGAAGTAACAATGAATTAAACGATACGGTTATAGAGATAGAAAATAAGGCTTGAGTTTTTTTTTTTTTTTTTTTGTTTACAAAGCTTTTGTTCAGTTCGATTTTTATTTTGGTATATATTTTTTCGTTATTAACTTAGAGTTTAATTTTTATTTGGAACATGTTTTTAACCTTGAATTTGTTTAACTGTTGAAATATTAAGGTTTCTTCCTTTACTTTTTACTTTCCAATAAAACACATTATTTTCAGAAAAAACATTTTTTTTTAAACAAGTCTTAAATACAATCTTTCACTTAAATTTAATCCAGAAAAAATGCTACTTCTACTACAGAAAAATACATCTTTATGGGAAATTTTCCATTTTCAAAAACCTTAATAATTTGGATACAATTTTTTTGAATATGCAAAACTTTCCTTGAGAAATTATTTGCCTTGCAAAATTATTAAGAGTATCCTTCACCTGGAAATAAAATATAATTGTCTCAAATATTTTGGGGCCTTGAAGACTAGAAGAACATGGCTCCTTATAAATAAAACATTTATTATTATTTTGACACTTTATGATTACAATTATTGTAAAGTACCGCTTAAATATTTAAAAAAGATTATCGTAAAAAATTTCTTTAAAAATGAGTCTATGGTTTATATAAGTATTATCCAGTGGCATAGTTAACTAAATCTTCGCAAGCAAAAGTCCTCTATGTCACTAATAAAATATAATCAAATTTTAAATAACGAAAAATTTACTAAATATACAGGAACTTACAAATATAAATAAGAAAGATATTTAATCTAAATATCCAGAGAGCTCAAATGAAATAATTAAATCTAACTTTATATACTAGGGTTGCACCATTTAAAATTCTCTGTACCTATTGATTATTGAGTTTTGAAGCACAACCCTGCCATCTTTAACATACATCTAGTATTTTAGTATTTAGTGCTATCAAGATCAGCATTTGTTACTAATTATCAATAAAAATAATTCTCTTACATCAGTCAGTACATATATAAATATAAATATAAATATGTGGTGATAGTTAGCACAGTTAATGTGATTGCTTAAAAATATATTATTATTTACATTTTTTGAATAAAATTCGACAGGATTTTGTAACATAAAAATTAAATCAAAATACTGAATTGTATTTATTTACCTAAACTGATAGCTTTTCTAAATAGTTTTATTGGTAGGATTGCTGTCTAAACATGGCAGAAATTTCTTCTAAGGATTTGTTTTTGGTTTCCGGTACTTTTTTGTAAATAAATAAGAAAAATAAGGCTTGAAGGACGGCAAAAATGATGAAAACGTAACCTCCCATCGCATTCTGAAACAATTTAAAAAAATGCATTTTTTTTTGCCTCAAGACAATACAAAATTACTTACCGCTAATGGAAGGAAAGCTAATCCGACAAAGAAATTAGCAGTCCAATTAATGCATACAGCCAGGGCACTAGCTGTAGGCCTTGCAGATTGATTGAATAATTCGGAAACCAAGAACCACGGAATGGATCCGGGACCAGTGGCAAACATAATGACGAAGATTAGTACGAAGATCACAGAGAAGATTCCTGCGACTTGAGATTGGAGCTAGAAAAAAAAATATACGTTAAAACCTATGAAATGCTAGTCCAATAGATGATTCTCACCGAAAATCTCAAACTGACAGTCAACAGAATGGTGTCTACGGCCATACCAGCAAATCCAATGAGAAGTAAAGTTTTCCTTCCAGCTTTTTCCACCAAAACCAAGGAAACTAACGTCATTAAAACGTTAATACCGCCCATACCCAAAGTGGCGTAAGTGGAAGCATTATCATCAAGTCCGGCCATATGGAAGATGTCAGTAGAGAAGAACATAATCTGTAATAATAGGTAGGTAATTAAATAATAGTTTCTAAGTTATTATTATTATTATTACTATTATTAGGTACAAGAGTAAGCGGTTATGACCGATGAAACTGTTGTTTCAATTTCTGTGGTTCTTTTTTGGATTTTCAAAATATTCAGCTTGTTTATTTACAGTCCGAAATGAATGTTCACATAGCACTTCCCGTTGATTATCTAGTCTGTTTTTGAATGAATTAATACTTAGGGCGCTCACAGTGTTTTCCGATAATGCATTCCAATGATGGACAATTCTATTTGTCAAAAAGTTTTTACGGGGTAGTTTTGCGTTCTTCTTCTTTTCCAGTTTTTTGCTGTGTCCTCCTTGAAGGTGTACATTTGCATTCGGATGGAAGATATTCAGAGTAGCATTATAATGCTACTCTGAATGACCATATAATATGGTTTTAAAATTTTGTAGGTATTCTCTTAGGGTTGTCAACTTTAGTCCTTGTAGGTTTTTTTTAGTAGTTCTTGTTACACGTCTTTGAACTTTTTCCAAAAGCTTGATGTCTTTTACAAAGTATCTCAATCTCAATAAGCTTTATTGTCTCAAAATAAACATATTTCATTGACAAAGCAATTCTTATCACTAATAGGTAAGCAATTAAACTTTAAATTATGCAATACTTAAGTAGACTAAACAAATAAAATAAAACAAAACAAATAAAATAAAATAGAATAAAATAGTAAATTCCCAAAAATAAATTAGAAACCCTAAAGAAACCTCAAAGAAAGTATAGAACAAAAAATACCACATTTAAGATCAAGATATGCGCAGTAAAAGACGATCAATTTATCAAATAAACTCACCACAAACAGTGTTATTAGTTGAAGTTGAAGTTTAAACGAATTATGTTATTTACAAAGTTATTCGGTTAAGATAATATTCCGTCCAGTTATAGAATGCTTTGGTTGCTAGAAATTTTTTAACTGTAGTGCGAAATAATTTGTAATTGTTAATGATTTTAATATCTTGCGGCAAGTGATTAAATATTTTGATTTTTTCATAAATTAATGATTTTTTTGTGAGTGTAGATTTTGGAATTGGCAATTGCAAGTTATTGTGTCTAAAATTATAAGTGAGGGTTCTATATTGTTCCACCATATTCAAATTTTGGTCTAATATAAGTTTTATATAGTTTCAATATGGTGTCCATTGAGTGCTCTGAAAATGCTTTTTGGATACAATAAATGAACGAGTGTGCTTTTTCCACTATCTTATGAATATGTGGTTCCCATTTGAGGTCTGCGCTGATGATGAAGCTTAAATCACTCTGTTGATCGACGTTATTTAGATTGGTACCATTTAGTGAATAGGGTGTAATTGCGTTATTTATTCCAATACTGAGTACCGTGCATTTCTCTTCGTTCAGATTCATGCTTCAGGTTTTTGCCCATTGTTCTATTCTATGAAGATCTTGCAGCTCTTTAGAATTAGTTCTGGAGTTTGCAAACAGCTTAGCGTCATCGGCATGAAATATTATTCATGTTTTTATTTCCATTGCTGAGTCGCTGATATAAACTGAAAAGAGCAGAGGACTAAGCACTGTATCTTCGGCTATCCCGCTGAGAGTACTCCATTTATTCTTTGAAAAGTTCTTTTTTTCAAAAAGAAGGAGAGACACCCAAATAGATTACCACCAATACCATAGTGGTCTATCTTATGAAGCATTTTATTGAATGGCACTTTGTCAAATGTTTTTTCAACATCTAAGTAGACAATGTCGGTTTGTTCATTCCTATCAAAGCTTTGTGCCCAGGTGTTCAAACAAGTTGTGAGGTTGGTCATGGTCGACTTTTTTGGAAGGAATCCATGTTGATGATCTGTTATGGCCCCATATTTTCAAGGAGGAATAGTGTTAATTCTTTTGTAATTACCTTCTCAAAATATTTGCAAATATTGGAAGTTAAACTTATTGGTCTATAGTTAGAAGGTAGTTGTTTATCGCCATTTTTGTAAAGTGGGGTTACAATAGCATGTGTCCATTATGTCTGGTAGTCTTCCACTCTCCATTATCTCATTCATGCCGTCTGCTAGAGGTTTGGTTATTGCTTCGTTGCACTTTTGAAGAAATACTACCGGAATATTATCAAGACAGGGACCGGCGTCTTTCTTTAAGCAGTTAATGGCCTCGGAAACCTCGTCATTGGTGAAAACGATCGAAGTTAATTTGTTGTTGGATTTTGTTGATTCAGGAAGTTCTGAGAGCTCTGGATCGTCGTCTCTTGAGAAAACTCTGGTGAATTGACATTGTTGTGTAAATTTTTCTGCTATCGCGTAATCATCTTTTATTGGAGTTCCTGTGTCCAGATCTTTTAAAGTAATTTTGGACACTATTGTATTAAGAGTAGAGTCGTTTTGTTCACTTGCAGAATTTCTGTATATGTCTCATCTATTCAATGAGATTGACAAAAAAAAAAACAAAACATGAGTTGTTTGTTTAACCAGGGTTTTTGTGGATTGACTTTTGATGTTATTAATGGCACATATTTGGATATAGCCTTTTGTAGTATGTTAGTGAATGTCTCATATTTGTTTCCTGATGGATGTGATGACTGTTGTGTCTTGTGTCAAAGTCTTGTTGGCTTAAAAACTAGTTAATTTCATTGTAGTCTGCTTTCTAAAACTTCATTTTGATGACTTTGTGGGTTGGTCTACCTCAGCATTCGAGCTGTGATTTAGCTGTGATCACAATGTGGTTACTGTGACGGATTGGTGCATCATGGTTCATATCAAATACTACCTTTTTGTCATCTATCAGAATCATTAAAGACTGTACATGGTGGCCCATCTCGAGCGTAACATTTTGCGAAACGTGGCAACACCGCGTTTTCTTAACAAATATTTCAAATTTCAATATAGTCTGAAGAAGACTACTATTTTATAAAAAATATCATGCAAACAAAAGTTTTAAAAGCTCATGAGTAACGTAACAATGACTGTTGAAAATTACCCCAAATCCTGAAGATAATCGCTAATAAGTTCGAAACGGTATATCACAGACACATGTCCAGTATATCATTGGATTTGTCTTTAAAAGGGCTATGTAAAAGTTTATTGAAATACAGGGTGTTCCATAAAAAATTAAAAAAAAATTATTTGTCCACCCTGTATATAGTAGAATGATAACAAAAACAATGCTAAAAAATTATAGATAATTTTCTCAGAAATACTATACCATTAGGATGACTTCAATGATGTTTGAAATTTTAAGTTTTTTGAAAGATTTCTGGTGACAATAATTTTTGGTGTAGAGTTGAAATATTTTTAAGTTTTCCATGCCTTGTTCTGTTCGTCAACAGTTTCTTTCAAGAAGTTTCTTCGCATTGGCGTTAAATCAGCGTTTATATAGATGTTTTCAAAAGAGTCGAGTGACTTTTTTTATTTCAATATGTTCAATGCCTCTTGTCTGCTAAACACAATTACCTTTACTGGTCTTACCCTGTTTGCTTCTGCTTTTCCTAATCTAAAAGTTTTGATGGATCCTGTTGGCAGGCTATTTGATGTGTTGTGCTGTTGGCACGCTATTTGATATATTGTTGATGCTATTTAGAATACTTTTTACTTTGGTGACTTCTAGGTACTTCCGATTTCTGGTCTGCATTTGCAGTTTCTTCCAATCCAAAAATTAATATGTTTGTTGCAGCACGTCTTTCGCGCTTTGACAGCTCCTCAAGTGTTGGCAGGATATTAGTAGTTGCCCCTTTAACAGGGCTAACATTTTCCAGTTTTTGTTCAAGTTTGTTTATGTTTCCTTATAGCGATTCAAACTGCTTGGGCATTTTTGCTATGCTTGCATAAGACTGATTGGTCTTATTAACAGCTGTTTTCAGCTGCTCTAATTCTGATTTCATGTCTTCAACTTGTGATTTCAAGACTGGTACAAGGTTTGTTGTTTCCACTATTTCTTTGATATTTCCTTGAATAGTTTCAACATCCTGTTTGACCTTTGGAAAAGCCTTAAGTGGTTGTAATCGTGGTTGTAGTTCTATTTGTTTTTTCGAAAAATTCAAACCCCTTCCCCCTTAGGGTCAATTCTTAACACAAATTAAGTGTTTCTACTCCTCTAATTTTTGGTATCGCCATCGCTACTATTAGCATTCATTATTTTTTCAATGTCTTCACTTTTACTTTCCAATTATAGTTGCCATGAAATACACTTCAATACGCTTGAATAAATGTTTAAAAATAAACTAACACTAGCAGAATAATAATTTTATTATCACTGCAGCGTTTTTAGATGGGAAAAATTACACATATGTTATTTTCAAATACTTTATGGTCCGCAATACTATTATTACATTCTCATCAATTTGAGCGTTGCTGAATCTCAAGAATTATATTTTTCAACATATGTAGGTGAGACTTGTTTTTTATTCAGTCATAGATAAGATGTACCCTGCATATATTGACTAATATTCAATCATACACTAGCCTTTGCACTTGTATAGATTGAATAACAGCTTACATGCAACTTGCTTGTAAAATAACTACTATACTCACAGCATTGATTCCAGACCATTGTTGGGCCACCATAATAGTCAAAGCAATGATTAAAGGAATCCTCAAGGCACTATTAGTAATCAACTCTCTCATAGTGGTTTTGGGTACCAATTTCATGGCGTCATACTCGGCTCTCATTCCATCCATTTCCTCGTGCACAGCTAAAGTACCACGGAACCAGGACAAAGCTTTTTGAGCTTCCAGTTCACGACCTTTCGAGAGTAGAAGGTATTTAGGGGATTCTGGACAGAAAGGCAATGTGGCAATCTAAAATTTTATAATTAGTTGTCATATTTTTTTTTTCGTATTATAAAAGTCTTACCATGAAAATTGCTGGTACAATGGTTAAAGCAAAAAGAGTGGGCCAATGCTCAGCGGTACCCAAGATGGACCTCAAACCCAAAATGTTGGCCAGCAAAATTGAAATGGTAATTACCAGCTGGTAAACGGTACCAACAGCTCCTCTGAGGTTCACTGGAGAAATTTCGGCTAGATACATTGGAGCTAGGCCGGCGTTTAAGCCAGAATTGATACCAATTAAAAGCCTGCCAAGAATAAGTAGTTCGTATGAGGAGGCTGCTTTGGCCGATGACATACAAATGACAGCCAATAAAACTAAAATGTTGTTGAGGAGTAGGCCACCTTTTCTTCCGAAACGTTCAGCGACAAATCCTAGAAAAAAAAAATTCTGATAAAACAGGATAGAACTTTAAATTTTATGTGTGTTATGGCTGTTTCTACCAACTATTTTAGGGAAGCCCTAACCATAAAGTATTCCCTAAACTGACAGTTTTCCATGGAGAAATGTCAATTTAGGGAATACTTATCGTTAGGGCTTCCCTAAAATAGTTGGTGGAAACGGCCATAAGTGTTTTTCTTGTGGGAATATACCTGTCAGTTTAGAGAAAAATTCTCGTGGACCATGTTAACTTACAGATAAGGCGGTTACACACGGACGTTGATGTCTGAAAACATGTACGCACATACATGAACGTGCAAACAAAAACATCAATGTGTATGAAAAAAATATCGTCGCGTTTTTGAATGTGCAATTTTGTATGCACACTCGGAATACTGTAGCATTGGGCGGTTACACACGGACGTGGATGTCTTAATACATATACGTGCATACATCAACGTGCAACCAAGGACGTGCATGGCGCTTTTGTACACACGCTCGTACAAAACTGTAGTCTTGCTATTCTTGCTAAGGCGGTTACACACGGACGTGGATGTCTGAAAACATGTACGCACATACATGAACGTGCAAACAAAAATATCAATGTGTATGCAAAATACCGTCGCGTTTTTGAATGTGCAATTTTGTATGCACACTCGGAACACTGTAGCAAGAATAGGCGGTTACACACGGACGTGGATGTCTGAAAACATGTACGCACATACATGAACGCACAAACAAAAACATCAATGTGTATGCAAAATACCGTCGCGTTTTTGAATGTGCAATCGCTAGAAATTTTGTATGCACACTCGGAACACTGTAGCAAGAATAGCAAGAATACAGTTTTGTGCGAGCGTCTGTACAAAGGCGTCATGCACGTTTTTGTTTGCACGTTGATGTATGCACGTATATGTATCAAGCCATCCACGCCCGTGTGTAACCGCCTAATAGCAAGACTGCAGTTTTGTACGGGCGTGTGTACAAAAGCGCCATGCACGTTGTTGTTTGCACGTTGATGTATGCACGTATATGTATTAAGACATCCACGTCCGTGTGTAACCGCCTATATATACCTATTTAGATTTGAAAAATTGTGTTTAAGAGTCTGAATAATGAACTTTTTGACTAGGCTGGACAACTATACCATTTGCAGCATTATTTCACACTAGTGGAATTTGATTTCAAATTATTGAAAACTAAATTCACACCAGTGAAATCTAATTTTGTTGAAATGAAAATTAATTTCAAAGTAACGAAAACTAATTTCTCACAAACGAAATTAAATTTCACATTTTCGAAAATGAATTTCAAACTGGCCCTAATTAATACTCATTTTTCAAACATTTATTATTCGACAGAAATATTTATTCCACCCTAATGAAATAAACCCACTGAGTTTAGATAAATAAAATATGTAGAATCATGAAATAACAATAATAATTTGAGTTTTTTTTATGTTATGTGAACTCCGGAGCAGGTCAACTCGGCGATGCAAAGTCGGCGACGGTCAACTGGACGATGCCAAGTCGGCGATGGTCATCTCGGCGATGGTAAACTCGGCGACGGTCAACTCGGCGAAAACATACAGTAATAATGCAATGCAATTTATTCTTTCAGAAAAGACATAGGTGCCAGTCAGGGCTGCAACTAGGGGGTGGCGAACTAGGCACCCGCCCAGGGCGCCGGAGTATCAGGGCGCGGAAGGCGCCTAATTTAATCCATCCATATTTTACAATCCAAAAAAGTAGGACCTACTACGTACGTAAATATTTTTTTCTGCGATTGACAAGAAATGTCAGCATTTTTGACTGGTTGACAAGTCGCAAAACTCAATATTCTGGTATTTTAATTATGTTTGAATAGTTGCTAAGGAATCAATGAATAACAAAACGGGAAACACTTTTCTGGCCTAGGCCGGGAAAGTGATTCTCGTACTACGGAATAATTGGAGCGAAAAGACAAACATTTAACAGGTATTGAACAGATCGCAGAAAAAATAGTATGTGTATTCCGGTGGAAAAGCACATTCTCGGCCTTTGCTGTTTGCCGGCCTCGGCTACGCCTCGCCCGTTAACTTACACCGTCGGCCGAGAATGTGTCACTTTTCCACCTAAATACACAATATACTATTGACTAATGTGTCTAAATTATATATTTCGAAAATGTATTGAAAAAATTTCAAGCAAAAACCAAAGCATCAAAAAATATATCTATTGTTACTTTTGAGAGGGCGGTGGAGGGGCGCCAAAATTTGGACTTGCCTTGGGCGCCGAGGATTCTAGTTGCGGCCCTGGTGCCAGTTGTTGTCATGGATCTACTACACAGAAATTGAATACCTATTATTATAATGAGCGATACCAAAGAATATTATAGTTAACTATAGAAAACCTACGCTTATGGGCGACGGCAGACCGCTAGAGGCGCTGCTCCGGTGTTATAAATTGAAATAAATTATATTCGCGCTAGCTTTTCGGCAAACAAATTTTAACAGCGTTGCGCGATTCTCTCGGGCATTTAATATATTTTCTGTGATTTTACCTTGTAAGATGATAGACTAACAACTGCCGCGGCGGTTTTAGAATTTTTTACATCGACATATTAGATGATACCTAGTTGCTACGTCTAATTTGCTGTATAAATAGAAAATATATAAACTAAAACAAAATTATGCTCTGCGTGAGATAGGGAATGTTGAGTGGAGTCATTTTTGAAGTGAAAACTTCTTTAGAATCATTGGGAGTGATTTGAGACTCGATGAAACGAAAAAGCGACCCGATGAAACTAAACGAAAAAGCAACACTTTTTTAACACGCTTATATTAATACAAACACACAACAGGAACCTGGAACAAGCCAAGTGAGCTGGAACAAGTCTGGATAAATCTGGATGAAGTCTGGAAAAGTCTGGAAATCTCTGGAAACGTCTGGAAAGAGCCTGGAAATTTCTGGAAAGGGTCGGAAAAATTCTGCCAAAGGTCCCAAAAGACCTGGAGATCATTTTCCAGAATTCGGATCAGTCTATACAAGTCTGGATAGGGTCTGGATAAATCTGGATAAAGTCTGTAAAACTCTGGAAAACTCTGGATAAGTCTGGTTATTGTCTGGAAAAGTCTAGAAATTTCTGGAAACGTCTGGAAAAGACTTGGAAATTTTTGGAAAGGGTTGGAAAAAATCTGAAAAAGGTTCCAAAAGATCTGGGGATCATTTTCCAGAATCCGGATCAGTCTGAACAAGTCTGGAAAAAGTCTGGATTAATCTGGATAAAGTCTGGAAAACTCTGGAAAGCTCTGGAAACGTCTGAAAAGAGCCTGGAAATATCTGGAAAGGGTCAGAAAAATTCTGCCAAAGGTCCCAAAAGACCTGTGGATCATTTTCCAGAATCCCGATCAGTCTGTACAAGTCTGGATAAGGTCTGGATAAATCTTGATAAAGTCTGTAAAACTCTGGATAAGTCTGGAAAAGTCTGGAAACGTCTGGAAAAGACTTGGAAATTTCTGGAAAGAGTTGGAAAAATTCTGAAAAAGGTCCCAAAAAACCTGGGGATCATTTTCCAAAATCCGGATCAGTCTGAACAAGTCTGGATTAATCTGGATGATGTCTGGAAAACTCTGTAAAACTCTGGATAAGTCTGGATATTGTCTGGAAAAGTCTGGAAACGTTCCAGACTTGGAAATTTCTGGAAAGGGTTGGAAAAAATCTGAAAAAGGTCTCAAAAGACCTGGGGATTATTTTCCAGAATCCGGATCAGTCTGAACAAGTCTGGATTTATCGGGATGAAGTCTAGAAAACTCTGGAAACGTCTGGAAAATGCCTGGAAATTTCTTGGAAGGGTCGGAAAAATTCTGAAAAAGGTTCCAAAAGACCTGGGAATCATTTTCCAGAATCCGGATCAGTCTGTACAAGTCTGGATAAATCTGGATGAAATCTGGAAAACTCTGGAAAGCCCTGAATAAGTCTGAATAATGTCTGGAAAAGTCTGGAAATATCTGGGGCTAACACGCTTTTGATACATCGAACTAAAAAGTGAAAAATAATTTTTAATATAAACAGAAAATATTAATGAACAAAAAATATTAAAATTATTGTCAAAAAAAGCGTGGGGTGCTCAATGTATGAGAAATGTGGAACCAAACACCCCAGCGTGTATTTTAGTTTTTTTTAAACTATATTTATTTGCGTTCCTTTTCAAGTCTTTTGGAAGGGGGGACGCCACTGTCTATGTTAGGATGTGTGTAAAGCCTCATTTACACGGTGCAAGTAGCTTGAGCAAGTACTAACGCCAGTAACTAAATTATCTTTGTTTTCGTGCAAGTGGGTGTTTACATGCATTTTACTGATTTTAAGTCGAATTTAGTGATTAGTGCAAATTGAGGTGAAATGGCAGCAAGTACAGTTGTTCGAAAAGAAATTTAAAAATGCATTTTGAGTGTTTATGGAGAATTATCACACATTTTATTGAAAGAAATTGAAAATGGAAAACGTTGTTGGGTGCGACCATGGATATCTCGTAGAGAAACACATGGTGCATCTTCCAATTTATTGGTTGAACTGGCTAAGGAAGATCCAGAAGAATATCGAAATTGTATGCGGATGACAAAAGAACAATTCAATAAGTTAACTTTTCGAAATAAAACCCATGATTAGCACACAAGATACTGTAATGAAACCTGCTATTCCAGTAAAAATTACATTGGAAATTACACTATCATATCTGGCAACAGGAAGCAGTTACAGACGACATTGCAAAGGCAACTAATAGGTGCAAGGTGTAACACAATACTCAAAATATTCAAATTCAAACCCCACTAATGTACTTCACTAATCACTAAATACAAATCCTCAGTCTCGTTTTGTCCTCGCCAGAGTGTGGGCGGTTGGTTTAAGGAGCTCAAAGAGCTTCACCGGGTGGTGCACTAGAGGCGTGTAGAGACCAAATTTTGGCTCACCTCCGCGAGTAAAAACCGAGATTCATCGCCATCCGTGGATTTGTT